CGCGAGAAGTTTCCGTTCTCTCGACTGGACACGACAAGATGAGGATATCTGATGGGGACAAAATGAGGATATATGGTTCCTATTTTATTCCAATACGATTCCAACACGGTTCCTATTGGGTTGGTGAATCGAAAAACCGCCGGCTATTGTCATATGTGACAGTTTGAGCGCTTTCTTCAAAAGAAACCCATTTTGGTGTCAATGAAAAAGTTGTAGAGAATCAAAAATCAAGCTTATATCCAAATTTTCAGAACGATTCAAAAACTGGTTTTCAAGAAATCCCAAATTTACGAATTTTCATAAAACTTGCATTTTAAGCGAAACTACTAAGTGTATCTTTTTGGAAATTTGGCTATAAGCCTAATTTTTGATTCTCTACAACTTTTCCATTGACACCAAAATGGGTTTCTTTTGAAGAAAGTGCTCAAACTGGGCTGAGAGCTGACATCTCCAGTCCTCCATTTTTGAGTCTCACACTTGTCTGACACACAAACCAAAATCCTACTACGAAAGAGGAATCCGCAAATTGCCTGTAAAATGAGCAGAAGTCGTCAATAATAATGGGAATTATTTGGAATGAATTGATGGTTTTATGTTGGATAAATTTTAGTTCAAAGTCCGGCAGTTTTCAGCTCATCAACTCAATAGTTCAAACTTGGTTTAGGTCATTTCCCCTCTCGAATCCCCTCTCGAATCCCCTTCAAATTCTTTCGTCTATATTTGCTTTTCCCAATTTCGCTGAAGCTTTCAATTTCTTGAAATATTTGTCAATATGATGAATTCTCTTTTAGAAAAAGCTTGACCTAGTCATTTTTCGGATACCGTATTTTCTGTAATAGTAGTGCAGTCTGTAATAGTAATGTAATAGGTAGTGCAGGCTGGAGGGGGATTGTAAAATAGTTGTGCGCACTACTATCACAGAAAATACGGTAATTTTTTATAGCAACAAATTGCTATTGCTTTCATTCTTGAACACCTTTACTTACGCTACCAATTTTGAAATCCTCACGTTAAGTGTCAATTTTTTAAGCTCACTTTTTAAAATGTGAATGTTAGCCTGCAAATTTGGTTATATAAAAAACAAATTCTGTAAAAAGATTCAAAATTTCGTTTATTATTCCTTTCAAATGTTCAATGCTCAAAAAAAAAAACCCCGAAATTCTTAAATGATCCGCAAAAACGCTCTAATGGTCAAAAAAAAATGGAAACGAAGATATTGGGTTGATGCATAATTATCCGGACTTCTTTTTGCGTGCTTGTATCTTTTTTGTTTTGCAAAGCTTTTTGTCTATTTCTTTTTTTTAAATATTCGTTATTCTTTAGTGAACAAAATGCGTGTCGACAATCATATCCATCTTCGCCATATCATGCTCTACCACTTCGAAAAGGGATGGTCTGCCGCAGAGTCGTTTCGCGATCTCAAAGAACTGGAGAAGCCCCAACGGACTACCACGTCAATCGATCGCTCAAAAATTGGCAAACAAATAAGATCTACAACGATTTGGATGACTTGATAGACGATGTTAAAGCGTGGATTGCCTCCAAAGATCGTTTATTCTTCGCTCGTGGAATCGATCGTCTTCCAAGCAAATGGCAATCGGTTATTGATGTAGGCGGTGAATATGCTCCAGAATAATCAATTAAACATATTTTTCTAACTATTTATGTTATTTTTTGTTAAATAAAATCATTTATAAAAGAAGTCCGGATAATTATGCATCAACCCAATAGAAAGTATGCGAAAGTTCGATTGGATTATCCACATTTCCTTTGTACCAGCTTCAAAATTGAGCCACCTTTCGGACGCGACAAAGAGACAGTTCTCTGACCAAATCTAGCAAATAAACAAAGCATAAAACTGAAACCAGAAACCAAATGATCCGCAAAAACGCTCTAATGGTCAAGGAAATGGAAACGAAGATATTAAAAAGTTCAATCCGTCTATGAGAAGAAAGCTTTCAAAAGAATTTTTAAGTTTTGGGTTTTATTTTATACCTTCCGTTACTGTGCGTACCCTATATGTCGCTCGTAAGGAAAAGCGCCGTCTGGCACACGGCCTTTGCCTATACCCAGACAGAGGCCACGATCTCGGTTTAATTACCCAAGTTTAAGATTTGTATGCCAGACCGGAAACCCTCAAAACCAGAAACCAAATGATCCGCAAAAACGCTCTAATGGTCAAGGAAATGAAAACGAAGATATTAAAAGGTTCAATCCGTTTATGAGAAGACAACTTTCGAAAGAATTTGAAAGTTTTGAGTTTTTGCCATCTGGCACATCTTTCCTTTTCTTTGGAGACTGACAAATGTACTTATCTTTTGTGCAGTTTTTCCAAAAAATCAGCTTCTGGCATTGGTGCGTACTTTGTGCGTACCCTGTGTCCCTCGTAAGGAAAAGCGCCGTCTGGCACACGGCCTTTGCCTATACCCAGACAGAGGCCACGATCTCGGTTTAATTACCCAAGTTTAAGATTTGTATGCCAGACCGGAAACCCTCAAAACCAGAAACCAGAAACTTTCAAAACTCTTTCAAAATTGTGGAAAGCGTCCGCATTAATGCACAAAAATATCGAAAAAATGCGATTTCCAAAATAATTTCTTATCTCCTTTCCATCATTGATAAAATTAACCGTTGAAAATTAGTTTTATCCGGAAATTTCTTTCAGTAATTCTTTATGCAAAAAAATAAAAGCTAAAAACCTTTAAATCCAGTCTATTTTCATTTAAAAAGATCACATTTTCATTTCCAATAAGCTCAAGCTCAATTAGGCAAATTGGGGCTTAGGAAATCTAAAAGAAATCGCGAAATTTTCTAAGTAAAAACAGCTTTTCCATAGGCAGATGGTTAAGAAAGGGAAAAATTAAAGGCTTTTTCCGTTTTTCGAAAGATTTTCTGCATAATCTTCTCATTTTTAGCATCTTATTTGAGTGATTTTTCCTTTTATGATGAGGGTTTTGGGGAAAAGGATGGATGGACATTCGAGAAATCGAACTTTGGCCGGAAATTCTTTTATAAATATTTTTCATTTACAATCAGAACGGTATTTTGTTTTCATTATTTCGCTCTCAAGTTCCAATACGGTTCCAATACGGTTCCTCCTCTGATCTAATAGCTTCCAATACGGTTCCAATACGGTCCCAATACGGTTCCAATACGGTTCCAATACGGTTCCAATAGGGTTCCTTCTCTGATCTAATAGCTTCCAATGGGATTCCAATACGGTTCCAATACGGTTCCAATACGGTTCCAATACGGTTCCTTCTCTGATCTAATAGCTTCCAATGGGATTCCAATACGGTTCCAATACGGTTCCAATACGGTTCCAATACGGTTCCAATACGGTTCCTCCTCTGATCTAATAGCTTCCAATGGGATTCCAATATGGTTCCAATACGGTTCCAATACGGTTCCAATAGGGTTCCTTCTCAGATCTAATAGCTTCCAATACGGTTCCAATACGGTTCCTCCTCTGATCTAATAGCTTCCAATGGGATTCCAATACGGTTCCAATACGGTTTCATAGGCAGATGGTTAAGAAAGGGAAAAATTAAAGGCTTTTTCCGTTTTTCGAAAGATTTTCTGCATAATCTTCTCATTTTTAGCATCTTATTTGAGCGATTTTTCCTTTTATGATGAGAGTTTTGGGGAAAAGGATGGATGGACATTCGAGAAATCGGTTTTTTTTTGTCGGAAATTCTTTCTAAATATTTTTCATTTACAATCAGAACCGTATTTTGTTTTCATTATTTCGTTCGCAAGTTCAGATGCTTCTTGAAATGAATCTGGAATTGCTTTTGCAATTGCAATTCGATGAGTGCTTTTGGCTTGTTATATTTTGAAGCTGGCAATGAGCTTGAGTTCAATGTTCAGATTTTTGTTTACTTTAAGATATTTAGATAACAAGCTTATATTTAGTCTTTACACTCAGCTAGCTATGAGATGAAGTTGTTGGCGCTGTATCTTGAAATTATTGGAGGTGTATTGAGGCAAGCTAGACTAGGCAAAGCCAAGTCCTGGCCTGGCTTCTAGCTTTACCTGGTCTTGCTTTATCTGGTCTTGCTTTATCTGCAGTCTTAATACGTAGAGTTTCTCTTTCTAGACTCGCCAAAAGCTCAACTTTGCCTGCTTTACTGTTAACTTTAAAACCTAATGATCCGTTTGGAATATTCCTGGCAAAGCTCCGACCCGAATCTGAATCTGGTGCTGAATTCACGGCTGTTGTCTCAAAGTCTATCAGTCTTGATGACTTAAAAGCCTTAGTCTAAGCCTAGCCTAAGCCTAGCCTAAGCCTAGCCTAAGCCTAGCCTAGCCTAAACCTAGCCTAAGCCTAGCCTAAGCCTAGCCTAAGCCTAGCCTAAGCCTAGCCTAGCCTAAACCTAGCCTAAGCCTAGCCTAAGCCTAGCCTAAGCCTAGCCTAAGCCTAGCCTAGCCTAAACCTAGCCTAAGCCTAGCCTAAGCCTAGCCTAAGCCTAGCCTAAGCCTAGCCTAGCCTAAGCCTAAGTCTAAGCCTAGCCTAAGCCTAGCCTAAGCCTAGCCTAAGCCTAGCCTAAGCCTAAGCCTTGCTGTAAGTCATCTATCAAGCCTTGAACTTAATTCCATCGCTCTTGAATTGCAAATGAGAATCTTCTCAAGAGAATTGACTTTCTATATGCAAATTGTTGTCTAAATCTAGATTACAGTACTAAATTTGACAACACTGGTTCATTTTGAGTATTGTTGTTGTTGTTTTCAATTGTTTGCAGTTCACAAATCCCAAATGAAGATCTTTTCCAAGAAATTCGCTATTATTGCATCTTTTTTCTCTTTTTGTTCGATCTTTTCTCATTTTTCGTTTTTCCCCATTCAAAATCCATTATATCGATGTATAAGTGGCCATTTTTTTTCATTTTTCTTGACAATTATTTTTAATTTGATGAGAATTCAGAGAAAAATGCCATTTTTCAATTTTTGATTGTAGATTTGTAGATCTTTAGAAACGAAAAGTATATCGAAAAATTGAGATGGAGGATGAGCAACACTTGATCGACTTTCAACTCTCGCACAAGAGCTACATCGCCGAGTTGTGGATATATGGAATTGGGTGGGTTTTTGAGGGAAATGGGGAGCTTGACTTGTTCTTTGGAGTTCAACCATTGGCCAAACTTCAACCATTGGCCAAACGCATCCTTTCTGGCGCACTCTATTCTTAATTTTTTCGAGTCAAGCAAGTCGTTACTGCAAGAAAAATAGAGAATACAATGCGCTAGAAAGAGTGCACTGAATTCTTGCTAGAAAGAGTACGCTAGGAAGGGTGTTTTTTTATGCCAAAGCACAAAGTCCGCTTAAAAGCAAGATTGGAACACGGTCGAGGATTGGAAAGAGGATTCACATAAACACGCGCCACCTAGCGCACCACAAAGAACTCAAAGCGGCAAAAAAGGCGTTCTTGCAAGAAAATAAAAGAATAAGTGTGCTAGATGGGATTTATTCTAACTTTTCTATTGGGTTGGTGAATTGAAAACTGCGGGCTATTGTCATATGTGACAATTTGAGCACTTTCTTCAAAAGAAACCCATTTTGGTGTCAATGGAAAAGTTGTAGAGAATCAAAAATTAAGCTTATACCCAAATTTTCAGAACGATTCAAAAACTGGTTTTCAAGAAATCCCAAATTTTCACAAAACTTGCATTTTAAGCGAAACTACTAAGTGTATCTTTTTGGAAATTTGGCTATAAGCCTAATTTTTGATTCTCTACAACTTTTCTATTGACACCAAAATGGGTTTCTTTTGAAGAAAGTGCTCAAACTGGGCTGACAGCTGACATCTCCAGTCCTCCATTTTTGAGTCTCACACTTGTCTCACACACAAACCAAAGTCCTACTAGGAAAGAGGAACCCGCAAATGGCCTGTAAAATGGGCAGAAGTCGTCAATAATAAAGGAAATTATTTGGAATGAATTGATGGTTTTATGTTGAACAAATTTTAGTTCAAAGTCCGGCAGTTTTCAGCTCACCAACCCAATAGAATCAAAGTTTTAAACATCGTAAGAATTCATTCTGAATAGTGAAAGCATACGATTTTGAAACCTTTTTCGTTTCCAGTGTCTTTCTCGGGACGATCGCTGTCATCGTGACCGCCAGGCGGCTTTATGGACAACGCAGGAATAACTTTGTGAGTGAAATTTTGCGGAAATTTTCCTTTTAAAGCCTTCTGCTGTTGTTTAAAAGTTATCAAATCGAAGTTCAGATTGAAATTGAAATTGAAATTGAAGCTCAAATTGAAATTGAAGCTCAAATTGAAATTGAAGTTCAAATTGAAATTGAAGCTCAAATTGAAATTGAAGCTCAAATTCAAGTTCAAATTCAAATTCAAATTCAAATTCAAATCAACTCTTTTTGCAGGTAATTGCTGCTCGTTTAATGTCCTATAAAGTCTCACTAACAATCGCCGATCTCATCATTTTATTCATCTACGCACCCACACAATTCATCTGGATAAGCACATTTTATGTAAGTTTTCATACGTACATTTTCCACTATATAGTCAAAACCAAACTCTTGTAAAAGTGGAGTTTTCAAAAAGTGCCCTTTCACCCTCGAAATTTCTTCAATGCTTCGATCAATTGAAACATGTTTTAGTCGGAGATTTGTAGAGGAGATTTACAACTTTTAAATATTGGGTTGGGGACTATGACTCGGCGCCAAAACTTTAAAGGGACTTTTTGCACACATAAAGCCTTCTTTAAACATACGTTTGGTTTCATCAAAAGGATCCACTATTTCTCTACAAAATCACTTTTGAGAGATTCCACAAAGCTTTTCTTTCGTGGAGTTTATGGACTCCCAAACACAGCTAGTCAAAATGGCAAAGAGCCCGACTCATCATTTGAACAGTTTCTTTCACATAAACCTTCTTTGGTGTTTATATAAAAAAGATAGAGCACATTCAATTACTTAAGTTGCCAAATTTGCAGGAAGATCCCAGCAATGGTTTTTTCTAGATCACAGTTTGTAGTTTTTGTGAAAAAATGGCTTTTTCTTGAGCGGAGGCGCTGTTTGAATTTTCTTTTAAATGTGATTTTGTAGAGAATTAGTTAACCATTCTACTCATATCAAACGCATATTATTTGACGAAGCCTGCTAGAAGTTTTAGACATTTTTTTGATTTTCGGCGCCGAGTCATTCTCCCCAACCCAATAGTTTATAACATTCATCGATTCTAGTTTATAACATCAGTTTTCTATGGTTTGAAATTTATGAAAATGTTGAAATCCGCATTTCTTATGCATTTATCTAATATTATAAACTTTTTGCTTTCTTAAGGTCATTTAGAAAGTCATTTAGAAAAAGATATGACGATCGGTGGGTAAAATTTGAATTTTAAAATGAAACTTTCAGTGGTATGGCGGTGATTTCATGTGTCGAGCTTATAAATTCATCATGACTTTTGGCTTTCATTTGACAGCGAATATGCAGGTTTGAAGAAGTTTTGATTGAAATTATGACTTTGGAAAAGATTGGAAAAGATTTTCTTTTGGTTTATCTGGGGATTTTCGAGTGGAAACGCATAGGTTGACGAATTTCATTCGAAACTTTTTGATTTTGATATGAATTGATGGAGAATTTGATTGAAATTGATTGAAATTGATTGAAATTGATTGAAATTGATTGGAATTGATTGAAATTGATTGGAATTGATGGAAATTGATTGGAATTGATTGGAATTGATTGAAATTGATTGGAATTGATTGAAATTGATGGAAATTGATTGAAATTGATTGGAATTGATTGAAATTGATTGAAATTGATTGGAATTGATTGGAATTGATTGGAATTGATGGAAATTGATTGGAATTGATTGGAATTGATTGGAATTGATTGGAATTGATGGAAATTGATTGGAATTGGTTAAAATTGATTGAAATTGATTGGAATTGATTGGAATTGATTGGAATTGATTAAAATTGATTGAAATTGATTGGAATTGATTGAAATTGATTGGAATTGATTGGAATTGATTGAAATTGATGGGAATTGATTGGAATTGGTTTCCAATTGATTAAAATTGATTAAAATTGATTGAAATTGATTTCCAATTGATTAAAATTGATTTCCAATTGATTTCTAATTGATTAAAATTGATTTCCAATTGATTGAAATTGATTAAAACTGATTTTCAATTGATTAAAATTGATTTCTTATTGATTTTCTATTGATTGAAATGAAAGACGAAAATATTCGAGTGAAATTTGAGAAGATATAGCAATTTTTCGTTGGACAGTTACACCGAGAAATCCTAGGTCTAGTTTTGCTGTCGATTTTCACGATTTTGCTTTAAGAATTACGTTTTACAGAGAGTAAAGCAAGAATAGAAGTAATTAAATAGAAGTAATCTTATCAAAGTCACAGCTGGTTTTTCAAATTTCAGGTGCTGATAGCTCTGGATCGCCTCTACATCACAAGTCGACTCAATCATGTGACGAATGTGAGAAAGAATAGTGGACAGGGAAGGGTTGGTGAAATGAGAACTTGAGCTACATCTTACTGTAGTCTGGCTTACTGTAAGCCAAGCCAGGCAAGGCCAAGACACTCCGAAATGTCATGCCTGGCTTCTGGTGAACCTAAGAACTGGACCAGGTTTGCAGTAAAGCCTGTTTCAACCAATCACCGATCTGTGAGCAAAGCCAAGCCCAGCTTTGACCTCTGGATTAGGTTAGGGAATTTATAGATGCCTGGTGAATCTAGGGGCAAGCAGCCAAGCCTATGAGCAGCCAGGCCTTGGATCAGCCAAGCCTTGGATCAGCCAAGCCTTGGATCAGCCAAGCCTTGGATCAGCCAAGCCTTGGATCAGCCAAGCCTTGGATCAGCCAAGCCTTGGATCAGCCAAGCTTTGGATCAGCCAAGCTTTGGATCAGCCAAGCTTTGGATCAGCCAAGCCTTGGATCAGCCAAGCTTTGGATCAGCCAAGCCTTGGATCAGCCAAGCTTTGGATCAGCCAAGCTTTGGATCAGCCAAGCCATGGATCAGCCAAGCCATGGATCAGCCAAGCCTAGTACCTAGACTGACTTGGCCCTAGAAAAGAAAAGCTAGACCAGTCTTGGCTTTGATGAAAGGAGCCAGACTAGACCTGGCTCTCTTTGGCCTTATGTCATCATTAAATGGCTCATTAAACTGAGATCATCTTCAGTTTACTCGCTATGGTCACAATGCGTACATCGTTTTTGCCTATCTTCTCGCTTTCTCTTGTGCTCTTCCACAACTCTTCGTCTTTCAATTGACCCAACTCGAGAATGGGAGTACTCAATGTACAAGTGTTTGGTTAGTATCTTATGTATTTTAAATAATTTTTGACTTTAGGACTCTTGCTCGAAAAGTCTACTATCAAGAGAAAGCTGAATATTTTATGAAAGAATTGGAAAGAAGCGGGAAATATAATTTGGACATTAAATTGACAGAAAGTGATTTGGATCATATACGAGAACTCGCACAAAGTGTAAGAATTGAAAAATCGCCTTGCTACAGTACTACAGTACTTGCCACAGTACTACAGTACTTGCTACAGTACTACAGTACTGGCTACAGTACTCTAAAAGTTATTCAGACAGAAAAGGGGTACTGTAGCATTTTATATAATGAAAATAGTAGTTCTAGTTTGTTTCTAACTACAGTACTTTTCCCATTGTCTTCAAAAAACCAATCCTGTAATCTGAAAAGGTTTTAGAATTGATTTGACTATTTGAAACTATTTGAAATCCCAATTGAAATACTATGGATACTTTAGAAAATATTGTGGAAAGAACAACCTTTAATATAAATATTCTTTGCCATCTTGGCCTGTGAATAAGTGACTTTCAAGTATAGCTGATCTCAAACCTTTTTTGATATTAGCCTTGGTGACAACGGTCGCTTTCCCACAACGTTCAGCACCATCAGAATTTCTTCCTAACTCTTGAAAGCATTTGATCGCGTTGTAAACAAGTTGTTTGCATATCGTCAATTGCTGACTAGGGAATGTTATCAAGTTAAGCCACCTTACCAAGTCCACGCTTTTCGAACGAGACCAAGCTTATCTAATAGAGTTTTTTACGCTGATTCCGAATCCGGTTTTAACTTTTCCCGAAGAACTCTGTAGCGCGAGATAGCATGAAATCTGAAAGATCATGAAAAGGGTTTAGAAATGTTTCACAAAAAAAGCAAAAAAACCTTGGCATTTAAGTGTCCCAAACCAGCAGCCAAGAAAATCCAACAACCCCAGCACACTATCCATTAGGCCACTAGCTGACGCAGGTGACGGTTGGATTTTGTCATAGGTGATGGTTGGCTTTTGCTAGAGGTAACGGTCAGCTTTTGCCAAGTGACGGTCAGCTTTTGCCAGAGCTGACGGTCGGCTTTTGCCATAGGTGATGGTTGGCATTTGAGAGAAGCCATGCCAAGCTTATAAACCTACCGAAATTGGGGCAAATTTTTTACGCCAAATATCTCGCGCTACAGAGTTCTTCGGGAAAAGTTAAAACCGGATTCGGACTCAGCGTAAAACACTCTATCAGATAAGATTGGTCTCGTTCGAAAAGCCCACCTTAACTTGATAGCATTCCATTAGAGATATCCATAGAGATATCCATAGAGATATCCATTGCCAGAACGCTATTTGTGTAGGTCGATGATCGCATCTCGGTACACTGACTTAGCAATTAAAAAAAGAGACATTTTTTGATAAAAAAATAATAAGTAAATAGTTAAATAAATAAAATAAATAAAAAGAAAGAGAAAAAGAAAATCTAAATTTAAAGGAAGAATATAGAATATCAGAGATCTTCCTAGTCCCTAGACAATCCTTTAATTCCTAGACAACCCTTCAATCCCTAGACAACCCTAGACAACCCTTCAATCCCTAGACAACCCTAGACAATCCTTCAATCCCTAGACAACCCTAGACAACCCTTCAATCCCCAGACAACCCTAGACAACCCTTCAATCCCTAGACAACCCTAGACAACCCTTCAATCCCTAGACAACCCTAGACAACCCTTCAATCCCTAGACAACCCTAGACAATCCTTCAATCCCTAGACAACCTAGACAATCCTTTAAAACCAACCCATAGAAAAGTTCCCAAACATGCCAAAAAGCCCAAGACAACCCATTCTATTGAGTGCCGTAGAGAACCTATAACGTAGAGAACGTAGAAGGTACTGTAACCGGGTTATCTGTTAGAACAAAAAGATTATTATATCTGAAGATCAAAGCTAATAAATCACTCATCAAAGCTAATCATTCATTTTTTTCAGTTCAATATCACAATTCCAAAAGAAATCTTGAAATTGGAAAAGGAAAAATATCAATTTCTCTTCATTGAACAGGTTTTTGATCTTAAAAACTCTTCAATTATTCAATTATTCAATTTTAGATCTACAATATTTTCCATTTGGCTTCAATTTGTGTGATTCCTTATCTAATCGAATTACTTTGTTATGCGAGTATTCTCTATTTGTTAAAAGGCGCGAAGAAAGGGCAATTCTTGAGCATCAATGATATCGCAAAAATGAGGTGATTTTGGTGGTGATTTGAAGGAAATGAAAGAATGAAGGAAAAGTGTAAACGAAAGCCTTTCTGTAAGCTTTTCTGTAAGCCTTTCTACTGCATTGGAATCTCTGTTTTGTTTATAGCAAAAAACGGGAATGTTTATAACAAAAAGTACATCAAAAAACGCTTGATGGATCTTGAATTTCAGATGGAAATGGTGTGCACTGCCATCATTATTCCGTCGTCGTCCTAAATACAAACAAGCGAACGACGGGCAAATTAGTCTGGTAAGTTCATGGGATCTGTTTACTAACAGTCGGTAGTCGTTTACTGGCAGGCGTCATAGAATAAAATAGAAAAGTACGCTAAAGTGCCACTTTGTGTCAAAACGGCACTTTACTTTTCACTTACTACTTTTCAAAGCCGTTTTTCTCTACGTTCTTACAGGGAAGTGTACAAAACAAATTCCACTTTTCTTTAGTCAAATTTGATAGTGATTCTTTTAAAAGCAGTCACAAGTCGATTCAATTTCCATACCTCGAGTTATAGACCGTCAAAGTTGATTGACTTCTGTATATAGGTAGTTCAAATTTGACGCAAATTTTCTCTATGTTCTTGCACATGAATATACAAAATAAATTGTAGTTTTTAATAACCAAATTTAATGGGATTCTTTTAAAACTAACCCTAAGTCGATCTGATCGCTGGACGTCAAGATATAGAGTAAAATAGAAAAGTACGCTAAAAGCGCTTTTGTGCCAAAACGGCACTTTAGCGCACTACTTTTCAAAAAAAACTCTAGCGAATCTCTATTAAACTCTAGCGGATCTTCAGTAAACTCTAGCGGATCTCGAGTAAACTCTAGAGGATCTCGAGTAAACTCTAGCGGATATCTAGTAAACTCTAGAGGATCTCAAGTAAACTCTAGAGGATCTCGAGTAAACTCTAGCGGATATCTAATAAACTCTAGAGGATCTCTAGTAGACTCTAGCGGATCTCCAGTAAACTCTAGAGGATCTCGAGTAAACTATAGAGGATCTCGAGTAAACTCTAGCGGATATCTAGTAAACTCTAGAGGATCTCGAGTAAACTCTAGCGGATATCTAGTAGACTCCAGTGGATCTCTAGCAAACTCTAGCGGATCTCCAGTAAACTCTAGCGGATCTCTAGTAAACTCTAGAGGATCTCTAGTAAACTCTAGCGGATCTCTAGTAAACTCTAGAGGATCTCGATGTGAAACATACAGTCAATTTTGTTGTGAATATCTTTTTAAACAAAAATATTACCAAAACTTATAAGCGAACTTAATAATTATAATCTTGATTATAATAATTTAAGAATGAAAATCATTTCAGAACACCGAACGAACCGATTTTGGTGATTGTGAGCGATTGCAGGTTAAAAATGGGACACTTGATGATGAAAATTGTGTCAAGAATGCTTTAATTAGTAAGTTTTATAAAATTTTGTTCTTTTTTTATTATAGTTTTTCTGTAGTTCGCCAAGTTCGAAGCTTTTCATTAGTTGGTAAGGTTTGGGAAGGTTTTGAAAGGTTTTGAAAGGTTTTGAAAGGTTTTGAAAGGTTTTGAAAGGTTTTGAAAGGTTTTGAAAGATTTTGAACGATTTTGAAACATTTTGAAAGACTTTGAAAGATTTTGAACGATTTTGAAACATTTTGAACGATTTTGAAACATTTTGAAAGACTTTGAAAGATTTTGAAAGATTTTGAAAGGTTTTGGAAAGGTTTTGAAAGGTTTTGAAACATTTTGAACGATTTTGAAACATTTTGAAAGATTTTGAACGATTTTGAAAGGTTTTGAAAGGTTTTGAAAGATTTTGAAAGGTTTTGGAAAGGTTTTGAAAGGTTTTGGAAAGGTTTTGAAAGGTTTTGAAACATTTTGAACGATTTTGAACGATTTTGAAAGATTTTGGAAACATTTTGAATAAGATTGATGATTCAAAACCAATGCATGGAGTGAAAATCTAAACCCAGCTCAATTTCGATATGTACTTTGTGCTTAAAATGTTAACAAAACCTTTCTAATGAATAGAGTTCTTGATTTTCTTGGAGTAATGACTTGCCAATTGGAGAAAATGAAGAATTCGATGAAATAGAAAGGTTGTGTTGTACAGTATTTTAGACTTAACAGACAATGGATTTTACAGTACTTTTTCCCAAAGATTGTCAAGAAAAAGTGTCATTAGTATCGTAGTCTTTCGTGTCCTAGGTGAAGATCTCTCAGCCATTGTGCTTAAAATGTTAACAAAACCTTTCTAATGAACAGAGCTCTTGATTTTCTTGAAGTAATGACTTGCCAATTGGAGAAAATGAAGAATTCGATGAAATAGAAAGGTTGTGTTGTGGAAAAATTGAGTATAATTCAAAGATTAAAGCCTGAGCTTAGAGCTCAAAGATCCATAGAAAAGAAAAGATTAAAATTGAAACTTTAAATGTATTGTAAGGTTGGATTGACGTCTAAAAAGTGTCTTTCTTTTTACCGTAATCTTGTCTTTATATTTTATTGAGTTATCTGATTCTATAAGGGATAAAGGATCTAAAGATCTAGTCTAGAAGTCTAGAAGTCTAGAAGTCTAGAAGTCTAGAAGTCTAGAAGTCTAGAAGTCTAGAAGCTAAGCTAAAACTTCTGACTTCTAAAGCTCAGCTAAAACGTCTGACTTCTAAAGCTCAGCTAAAACGTCTGACTTCTAAAGCTAAGCTTAAACTTCTGACTTCTAATCTGGCTATTGTCCTCAAGAATCATTTGACTGTATACTGTAGCTTTAACAGTATTTTAGAGTTAACAGTATTTCAGACTTAACAGTATTTTAGACTTTACAGACAATAGACTTTACAGTACTTTTTCCCAAAGATTGTCTAGAAAGAGTGTCATTAGTATCGTAGTCTTTCGTGTTCTAGGTGAAGATCACTCAGCCAGACGCTCATCATTAATCATTTCCTTTGATGGTCGTAGTACAATCTCTTCCGATTGCGCCACAGCTCCACTTGTCTCCGATTCAACGCGATGTCACTCATCAAATACGAATCCAAACTCCGAACGATGTATTCATTTTTTGAGTGCCCTTTTTAAACCCTTTTGAAGTGTCTAGATTCTGTAAAACTTACAATCCTTATCACATAAAACTTTAGCTACTCACAGCACGTCTCCCGGTCTACTTCTATCAGTGCAAAATGTTTTATACAAATATAAAAGGGTGAGTTTAAAAGTATTTACCTTCATCTTACCCATGGATTTTATTATGTCTAAAATTTTAGGGAAGTGTTGCCACTCCTGGCCCTCTTCGACCAGGATGGATCAAGAATTTGAATGAAAAGCGACGAGCATCGTGTCCAGAAAGTGTGCATAAAGATGTGAAACCATGGATGAATACAGTGGCGGTGGCGAGAAGGAATACAAGGAGAAAGGTCTTAAAGGTCTTAAAGGTCTTAAAAACAATCTAAAACTAACTGGTGAGCTGATCAAAGGCTGATCGAAAGCTAGCTAATCAAAGGCTGATTCAAAGGCTGATTCAAAGGCCGATCGAAAGCTGATCGAAAGCTGGTCAAAGGCCGATTCAAAGGCCGATCGAAAGCTGGACAAAGGCCGATCAAAGGCCGATCAAAGGCTGATTCAAAGGCTGTGAAAGGTGAGAAAGGCCGCAAGGCGAAAGCTGATCGAAAGCTGATCGAAAGCTGATCAAAAGCTGATCAAAGGCCGATCAAAGGCTGATCAAAGGCTGATCAAAGGCTGATGAAAGGCTGATTCAAAGGCTGATGAAAGGCTGATGAACGGCTGATCGAAAGCTGATCAAAGGCTGATCAAAGGCTGATTCAAAGGCTGATTCAAAGGCTGATCAAAGGCTGATCAAAGGCTGATCGAAAGCTGATCAAAGGCTGATCAAAAGCTCGTCAAAGGCCAATCGAAAGCTTTCCAAAGGCTGATCGAAAGCTTATCAAAGGCTGATCAAAGGCTGATCGAAAGCTTATCAAAGGCTGATCAAAGGCTGATCGAAAGCTGATCAAAGGCTGATTCAAAGGCTGATTCAAAGGCTGATTCAAAGGCTGATTCAAAGGCTGATTCAAAGGCTGATTCAAAGGCTGATGAAAGGCTGATGAAAGGCTGATGAAAGGCTGATGAAAGGCTGATCAAATGCTGATCAAAGGCTGATCAGGCTGATCGAAACCTATCTGATTTCGTAGCTAATCGAGCTAGCTTTCGATATTCATTCAAACTTTCAGGCTTTCTGGATGTTGACTCTCAACCTGATCTTCTGGGCTCCTTACTGTATTCTCGGAATTGTCACAGCTGTCACCGTCTTCGAGAATTACATTCATTTTCAATTTGTTTGCGCTTTATTAGTTTTCAATGCTGTCACAAATATCCTTTTGTAAATATAAATGTAAATACGAATCAAAAAAACTTCCATTTAGTTAGTTCAAAGTGGTCTTTCGATGTTGTGATATTCAAATTTCAAGTTTTTACGTAAATTTTAAACAAATCAAATCCTTTTCGATCTCTAAATTGTTTGTGATCTCGGGTTTGATAAAATCGAGTAGAGAATTTAGGCAAAAACATGGTTTATTTAGCAAAAACATGGTTTATTTTGAATCTTTTCACTCATTATTGTTGAATAAATAGTATTTTCGTATTGATAACGCTAAAATATTATCAACAGGCGGCTGTCCTGGCGTTGAAAGTGCAGAGTCGAAGGCTTGGGCTTTGTCGTCGAGTTCCGTTCCTTGGTCCGTTGTCCATATGGCATCCTGATGTCCCGAGATTGGATCTTGGCCTTTGCTTGATCCCTCGATGCCGGAAGAGAGCAGGGAGGCTTCCGGTATAGCCGTCGTTTTTCAGCGTTATTGCTTTTCAGCGTTATTGCTTTTCTGCTTCGTTAGAAAGCTCGTTTCCGTGCGGTCATTTTGGTATATAACTTCCCTTGTTTCAGACAATGAATCTCTCCAAGGAAGAAATTCGTTTGCTGCTCTTCGTGTCAATGAGCAATGTCGATGAGCTGCTGCTCTTGTTGTCAATGAGCAATGTCGATGAGCTGCTGCTCTTCGTGTCAATGAGCAATGTCGATGAGCTGCTACTCTTGTTGTCTTCAATTGTTTCCAAAACTGCGTGACGATCAACTTCTCGTGGGCGTCCTAACCTCGGAACCGTACTCGGAACATCGGCCAAACTTTCCTCTTCTTCGGAAACTTTGTGAACCAATTTCGGGCTGTACAATCCGTAACAATGCCTTCTCCAAACGCCTCACAAACTTTTCGTGCAGCCTCCAAAGCATTCAAATTCAATTTCCATTGACAACAAGAGCAGCAGACGAACTTCTTCCTTGGGGGGAAAGTCTCTATCTGATCAAAAATCACCGTTGCATCATTGTTTGCAACTCCAGGAAAGTGCTTAAAAACTTATGATAAACTGCTAGGTGTTAGAAAGAAGAGTTTTCATTTTGACCTACATTTTATGTGTAAAAATGTAAGACAAACTCAATTTTCTATCCATTAAGCTAAGATTCTTAGCTGGAAGCTAAGAATTGAGTGCGTCAGGAAGGGTGTGTTTAGATTAAAACCGATCGCTAACATTTCGAATAAAGCTGCAATGAGACTTTAATAAGGAATTAAAGTTTTTAGACAAAGTTTTTCGACAAAAAAACCCAAGTCCAAGTGGATTTTCTCATTTCTGGCTTTGTTTTAAAAAGCTTTTGATCTTTTTAGATTACTCATGCAGTTGTTAAACTGCTATTCTATTACATTCCATTGCATTCTATTACATTCCATTGCATTCTATTACATTCCATTGCATTCCATTGCATTCCATTGCATTCCATTGCATTCTATTGCATTCCATTGCATTCCATTGCATTCCATTGCATTCCATTGCATTCCATTGCATTCCATTGCATTCCATTGCATTCCATTACAAATACCATTCCATTATAGCTTTATTTCCGATAATCAAAACTTTGCAAGCATACAAGCAAACAAATCAAATGCGAATGTTCGAAATGTAGACAAATTAAGATAAAGTTTATGATTTGTTTTGTGGAGAAAAGTGATGGTATTTGTTTACTTATCGAATACTAAAGTAGGGCTACAGTAAGCTATAGAAAATGAATCGTTCAAAAATGTACAGAAAAATGTTTATCAAAAAGATTGGAAAGATTGCCTAAGCGAACGTTTCAAATAGGGATTCACTGAGCTGCATAAACGCTCAACATTTGGCATTTGTTTCAAGTCCAATCCGTTCTCAAGGTGTTGAGTACTCCACGTACTCATGAGATGTTGAGTACTCAGGAGATGTTGAGTACTCAACGAAATCTAACATAATCCAATGAAATTCTAGCTCAAGCCAAGGCCAAGCTAAAGCCATTGACTTTGACTTTGGCTTGGGCTTTGACTTTTTGCCAATCCTGGCTAGGATACCAATCCTGGCTAGGATGCCAATCCTGGCTAGGATGCCAATTCTGCCAATCTATCACTGTCTTTGTTTGATCATGATGCGATTACCTGGAGATAAAGTGCTCAGCTAGATCCCAGAGCTAGCTTCTAGATCCTGTAGGTTCAATGCTGTCCAGACCAGGCTTCTAGGTCCTGTAAGCATCATTGGAGCCAAGTCTGGGCATCATTCTGTAGGTCCAATGATGCCCAGACTTGGAGTCTAGGTCCTATAGGTCCAATGATGTCCAGACTTGGCTTCTAGGTCCTGTAGGCATCATTGGAGCCAGGTCTGGGCATCAGTGAACCTACAGGACCTAGAAGCCAAGTCTGAGCATCATTCTGTAGGTCAAATGATGTCCAGACTTGGAGTCTAGATCCTATAGGTCCAATGATGTCCAGACTTGGCTTCTAGGTCCTTGTAGGTTCAATGATCGAATGTCCAATGATACCCAGACCTGGTCTGTAGGTTCAATGCTCGATTAGAACCTGCAGATCCAATGAGCAATGGGTTCACCGATCGATTTGAAATAATTGAACCCAAAACGAGTGAGTTGACCTTACCATGGGTTATTCACGACTAGTTTTAACACAAGACTCCTATGTACAAGTGTTAGCTAGCTAAAAAGTCTGCAATGCCTTCGTAGCTTCTCAAAAAACATTGCCATTTCTCATTCTCAGTCTCATCTTATCTCATATTCTCGTAATTCGAGGCTTGCTAAGTAAAGAATTTGAGTAAAATGTTTGAAATGGATTTTTGTGGCAACAAAAATTGTGAATATGTTTTCATTTTCGATATAAATCTCTCGTTTCCTTCTTTTCTTTCTTTTCCATTCAACTGGTTTCCTCAAAAACTCTTTTCTCTTATGATAAAGGATTATAAAAACCGCTGACGCTCGTGAAACCGCTGCCGCTTCACAGTGGAGGGTGGCAGAATGGTGGCAGAATGGTTCGCTGCTTGTAACCGGATTAAATGCATTTGTCTGGCAACAAAAATTGTGAATATGTTTTCATTTTCGATATAAATCTCTCATTTCTCGTAAATCTTTCTTTTCTTTCTTTTCTTTCTTTTCCATTCAACTGGTTTCCTCAAAAACTCTTTTCTCTTATGATAAAAGATTATTTTTTCAACAAACAAATGTCTAAAATTAGTCGAATTTTGGAAAGATAAGCTTTACGAGTTTAAAAAACGATCAAAGGCGAAGGTTTTTGTTTGTTTTTTTTTTGTCAAAACTAAAATTTGATTTCTGTAAGTTTTTATTAAAGAAAAGTAGGAATGCAAAAAATGTAATGGCCTTCAAAAGGTCTCTTTAAGAAAAAAGATAAGAAAGATTACTTAAGAATACTTTGAAAGGGTGAAAAAGTAACGAAATTGCCATTGCTCATTTTCAGGCTTATGAATTTCACTGATAGCTATAGCCAGCAATTGACTGTCTTCTGATAAATGAAGTCTTGTGACTGTAGCATTAGTTTGAATGGTTATAGGTTACATTTAAAAGGAAGCTTTGGTTGTTAGAGTGGGTAGAGCAAGCTTTTCCGAGACTTTAAGACTAAAGTATCCGAAAGCTTGATCTTCTATCTACTCTAACGATCCTGGCTTAGCTACTCTAAAGACCTTGACTTAGCTACTCTAAAGACCCTGACCTAGCTACTCTAAAGACCCTGACCTAGCTACTCTAAAGACCCTGAGTTAGCTACTCTAAAGACCCTGACTTAGCTACTCTAAAGACCTTGACTTAGCTATTCTAAAGACCCTGACTTAGCTATTCTAAAGACCCTGACTTAGCTACTCTAAAGACCCTGACTTAGCTACTCTAAAGACCCTGACCTAGCTACTCTAAAGACCTTGACTTAGCTACTCTAAAGACCCTGACCTAGCTACTCTAAAGACCCTGACTTAGCTACTCTAAAGACCCTGACTTAGCTACTCTAAAGACCCTGACCTAGCTACTCTAAAGACCTTGACTTAGCTACTCTAAAGACCCTGACCTAGCTACTCTAAAGACCCTGACTTAGCTACTCTAAAGACCTTGACTTAGCTACTCTAAAGACCCTGACCTAGCTACTCTAAAGACCCTGACTTAGCTACTCTAAAGACCTTGACTTAGCTACTCTAAAGACCCTGACTTAGCTATTCTAAAGACCCTGACTTAGCTACTCTAAAGACCCTGACCTAGCTACTCTAAAGACCCTGACCTAGCTACTCTAAAGACCCTGACTTAGCTACTCTAAAGACCCTGACTTAGCTACTCTAACGATCCTGATCGATCATGAGAAAGCGATATCTAAGAGCGATATCGATCAAATCAGTCTTGATTTTTGAGTCAAATTGCAAGATCTCTCTAGTTCTTGCAAGATCTCTCAAGTTCTTGCAAGATTTTGACCATCAAAAAGTCAGGACCAGAATTCAAATCCATCTTCAAATCGCTTTCTTTACAATATTCAGCTTGATGTTTGTGTTAACTGAATTTCGAAGTTTTGTTAACAGTTTTGCTAACATATTAAGCATAAAACCCCCAAAAAAGCTGAAGAATCGCACAATAAAATCTATTGTCAGATGTGAAACAGTTAAAAGGTTGTCAGACATGAATAAAGTTTTCACGTTCTCAAAAATGGGGCCTAATCAACTCGGATGCCGTGTCGCCTTATTTGAAGGAGATTAAAAAATCCAGTTAAGCTTAATTTGATAACATTTGAAAGCCTAAAATCTCCTCTTTACAATGATATAAAAAGTTAACTATAATATAATCTCTGGAAAAGTTATAGGCCTTTAAAGGGTGACAACCCGTTCAAAATACTGAAAACTACGCACTTGAACGAGTCGTCACACTTTGAAGGCCTATAACTTTGTCCAGAGATTATATTTTTATTAACTTTTTATATCATTGTACAGAGGACATTTCAGGCTTTCAAATGACATCAAATACAGTTGGATTGGATAATCCAGTCCA